AGCCTGAAGAATACCTGAGGTTGCCCTCTGCTGACCATGTCCTTCCCATTCCCCAAATTCACTTGTATACACACACACACACACACACACACACACACACACACTCACACAAACATTGCTAAGGTTGGACCAAGGTGGGTGGGGGGCAGTTGAGGGGTATAGTTTGGGTTAAGACAGGGGCCTTTAATCACTGGGTTTCGGCAGAAAACTAGGTCAGACTTCTTCCATCAGCGAAATAAGGACCTTCAGTGAGATGTCGTGTTGCCTATAATGCAGAATGCACAGGGCAAGCCCTCTGCAGTCACTGGGACAGCATGCCAGCACGCCAGCCTTGCAGTAGGTGCTCTCGAGTCAGATTATATGGGAGCCTTGGCTGGGCTTCTACTTTTATTGAGGATTTCCTGAGTGTTCACTTCCCATATATCAGCTACCACTCCAAGTGTTTTCATTTATTAGCCCCTACAGTGCTTAGAACAGCTAATCAGGTAAGTGTCCGTCCAGTCACTTCAAACTGAGGCCCCAAGGGCTTAGGTAAAACATTCAAGGCCACGGGACCCAGGTAGTTGAGCATTCCAGTCATCTGGACCATTATAATACCGGTAACATTAACATCAAAATAATAATTCAGGAGAACAAACCACGTGTCAAGCGCTACTACCAGGAAGGTGAGGAAGAGGCATTTGCAACTGAATGTCCTGGGGGGGGGGACCAGGCGCAGCAGGGTTGCCTAAGACTCCAGTGACTTGCGGAAGGTTAGGTTTCTCCTTCTGAAATCAGGGAGACTGGGTAGGGCACTGAGTTGAGCAGAGTGACCTGGCAGAAAACAAGAACATGAGTGTTTTTTGGTTGAGATAGAGTTCTTTACCTACATCCTTCTAAACCGAGTCAATGGAACCGCAGCATTTGACTCAAGATTCTTTCGGTCAAGCTCGACACGGGCTCCATTTACTCCTGTTCTTCAAACGCTTAAGGGTCAAAGTTCAGGTAGATGCTTTAAGTTAGCTTACAAGTTGACCCCCTATCAGGCACTGGAGATGGCAGAATGTGTGCTCCTGAAGTGGACCTAGGGACACAACCGCCAGGCCCCAAGTCCACCTCAGTCTTTGGTGCCCTGTGTTAAACCTCTCAAGGTGCTTTCTGCAGTTATGACAACATTGGCTTGAAAACCATCAACATTCAAGTCACACGTAGCCAGCGATCTCGAGTAGGCGAATGGAACCCCCTGATGTACTTTGCATTTACTCCGCTACAGCAGGTCAATCCAGCATCCTGCAACTTTATCGAACTCAGCATCCCACTGCAGGATACTCTCCCCGAACCCTCCTTAATCTCGGTGCTGGCTCTCTGCAATCGTGACTCGGCGTTGCAGTCCTGACATCACCGAAGAAGCCTCTCCTCCTCAGGCTGCAGCAACAACAGCAGCAGCAGATTTCCCGCCCCGCCGGGCGCTCACCAGGTGCGGGGCTCTAGACTGGTCGTGCCGACCTTGCAGGTCCTCCGAGGGGCGGGGCCGGCTTCGCCGCACGCTAGCGGCCATTGTGGGCGGCTGGGCGCAGAGCCGCCTTCCTCACGCTGAGACCCCCCCCC